CTCTCTATCTCTCTCTCTCTCTCTCTCTCTCTCTCTCCCTTTCCAATGTGATGCTCTGAGCTTGGTTTGTTTGGTGGAAAATTGTGCGTAGGTTCTCAACCCAATTCTTAGCTCGGCCTTATCAAAAATGGTTGTTGAATTTAAAGGTCGCACCTCTTAAATAATCCTAGAGTGTTGAATAAGGTATGAAAACTATTTAATCATCAATGACACACTGAATCAAACAGTTTCATATTCACCTGTTTACTTTGGAGTGTTGTGGGGTGCCCCATACTAATTCTATTCTTTTCTTTGCCCTCTTATCAGTTTTTCAACTGTCGTTTTGGTTTTCCACCAGCACTAAATTATGTTCTACAGATCAGATTGTGGCACTTGTAGTCTTGAGGTTGGGCTACCAGATTTGTAATTGGGAGGTTGAGGGTACAGGGACTGAGCCTTAGCTTAGCCCAACATAGATGTGTGTTGCTCTTAGAGTATGTATCTGTATATAACTCCAAAGGTCTAGTATTTAAATTCCTGCATGTGGTTGAATGATGTATTTGATGTAAATGTACATTTTGTCAGCTTTACCTCTACTTCCATATTGAAATTTAATGAGAGTAATATATATAATTTAATTTTTTAAAATGTATACCTGCATGTTTTTTACGGTCCTGTACAGCCAAGGAAAATTTCCCTCTGGGATAATACAGTATTATCTTATCTTATCTTATTAAGCCCTTGGGAAAGGCATTTCACACAAAATTTTTCTCACCTTATCTGGGTGTGAATGGGTAAACAGCCATAGACAGTGAAAGATCTTGTCAGTTTGATAGCATTTTAGCATCTGTAAAATGGCAGCTTGCACTGTACGCTTCTTAGGAAGCTGAAAATATTTCTGTGTGTTCTATGCGCTGCTGAGGGGATAATAGTTGTGTAGAGTGTACAGAGCATGCTGTGCAGCAATTATCATTATCATTGTTAAATTAAATAACATCAGCTAGAATGGGGGGGAGGGGGTGGGGGTGGAAGGGATATTGCCCTCTGTGGTATCAGACACATGTGCTCACGGAATATTTTGTAAAATTTCTAAATATTGAAAAAAAGGAAGAAAAAATATGTACTGTAGATCTATATATTTGTTAAAAGAATTTAATGATTCTTTCTCTCGCTTGAAAAATTTTCCTTTCTCAGCGAAGAATATTTGAATTACTTACCGATGATATGTGAAGTGTGCTGACAAAATGAGTTACTGCTCCTATTTTAGTCTTATAGAAATTAATACATCAACTTTATAGGTGCAGTTTGTACAATTTGTAAGTAAGAAATAATAAAAGACACGGTAGACTTGAACAAAATGGCATCAATTAGAAATCTATAAATCTGACTGTAGTGTCGATTTTCGGCCTACATCTCCATTCTTGGACAGCGAGAAATAACTCATTTTGTCAGCACACCTCACATATATGCCTTTCCCAAGCCGGATCCAGAGTCTACTTTTCTTGTCAATACAGGTAACCTTATAGTACCATATTATCATGGAAGATGCTGTTTTTTACAATATAAGAGTTTGGTTCGTCCCTCGTCTTGCTCTTTCCCATGGCTCTGTCCTTTACCTATTTCCCTCACCTCAGGTTTCTTATTCTAAAACAATTCGGAATAGGAATAGGACTATGTATGATGTTAGGAATGAAATAGTCAAATTGCACACAGCAATACTTCCCCCTTCCCACCCTCAACACACACACACACACACACACACAC